GACATTGAAAGTCAAAGTGCCCCCATTTGTAACATAGGGAAAGTACATTTACTACTAGTTTGGCCTCTTTTGAAGCACGTCTGAAGCTTTAGGGACTATAAGTGATTTAGGATCTGTGAAGGCGCTGGGTTAGGGGACTAACAAGAATTCCTTGTGAAGTTCTTTTCTAAGCAATCATCAGTTTTATTTTCATTTTCTATCAATCATGCTTTCATCACTCTCCCAAACTTCCTTATTACATCATTCTTATTGTATTCCTTTCCTTAATTCTGTTAATTGCTAACCAAGAAAACATGTCTTTTGCCTCGACATAATTATAGAATTCTTTTTTTTTTTTCTATTAGGGAAGGACGTTTTTATTTGTTTTAATGTAAAATTACAGAGATGATAGAACAGAAGTGATTTGCTTCAAACATGCAACTTTGCTGCAAGTGTAGAGGAAGCCTGGCAGACCTGGTCTAATCTCAGAGAAGAGGACCCCACTCTGCGGACAACTTCTGAAGACTTGCACAGAGAGCATAGCCATTCATCAAAATGCTATGGAATGTAGTCTTGTGCCAGGCACTGGTGGTGGGAGGTTAACTAAGAAGACATCAGGTTGAACTAAGAAAAGAATAGTATATTTCTTGCCCCTTCTCTAACAATTCACTCAGTTCTGTAGGCTATTTATCCTTCCCAGATAAATAAAGCAAGCCTAGTTGATGGGTGCCAACAGTGACCGGTTCATTGTGACCTGCCCACCCAGACTCCATATTCAGACATGTAGTGAAGTGGACAGCTAAGGGAATACCAATTCCCTCAAGGTAGTAGAGGATTGTTGAATCACTGAATACAATCCTTGGTCTACAACTCAGCATTCATTTGAATTCTTAAATTATGTACAATTATTCGTTATCTAATTCCAAAGTTGCAATGTAAGAGATAATCTCTCACGTTGAGTATTCACTTAGGCCCATCCTATAAGTACAGGTGCTTTACATATTTTACTCAATTTACTTAGCTCAACAGTCTTGAAAAGTTATTACTATTATCCTGCTTTAACAAACGAGGATGCTGAGTCTTAGATTTGCTACTTTATTATACACGTGTGCAAGTGTGCGCGTACACACACACACACACACACACACACACACACATTGTACCTAACTTCAAAGGCCATGCTTTTTCAAGTACACCCTACTTTGCTCTGGAGCCCAGAGTAGGGCTCAGTTTCTCAGAAGTGGTTACAGTTTGTGTCAGAGCAATGCTGCTTTGAGAAAACTAAAGGTGGAGGAAACATGTTCGATGTAGCTGCAGTTTGCAATGATTTCGGTTCAAGAAGTATTTTTGAACAACTGTGTACTTCCCCTTCACCCAACACACACACATTCCCTACTGATCAACTTGGTGGTCACTGAGTAGGAATTTGACACTCCTCCAGGCACTGACACTGTAAGGATATACTTGTATGTTAAGCACTACACCATGCTGGGCTATGGTCTGGTGACTCTTCTGACTGCGGGCGGGGTAATTATGGAATTCTTGCTACAACTTTTGTGGTATTTGTATTTCTGTATGTGTGCGGTTGATGGCCTAGGTGTGTGTGTATATAATGTAAAGATAAAGACCGAGGCACTCTTACAGACAGAACTTTCTAACCCAGATTCTAACATCAGGAGAACTGGATATAACCACCATCTTGTACAGGGCCAGTCATGTCCAAGGCCTCACCTGACCACCAATATTTGAATTAGTATATTTTACACTGCTTTCGTAATGCTTTATCGTTATAATCCTAACAACTTGCATGGCAATGTTGAATAATACCTTTAAAAACTTGTTGAAAACTATGTTTTAAGTAGTACTTGGAGTTGCCACTGCGCCTTGGAAAAATTATGGGAATAACTAAACCCCATAATAACCTTTGTTAAGTTTTACTTACTTTTCTAATTTGAAACTGATTATTGTATATAGAATACTTATTACGGTCACTACATAAGTGATATAGTGACACCAGTTTTTAAGCTAAGATGTATACATAAATTCTAAAATGTTTCAGCTTATAGACTCAATAGCAATTTGTACACTTTACTGGACTTCAAATGTGACAGCTGATGCAATAATTTTGTAGATTCTGAGACCCTCATACATATATTCCACAAAAGATAGATCTAATAGTATTTATGATGTTAAGGCCTGGTACATATTTTTTCACTAGGGCCAATTCATTTTGCTTAAGTTCTGCCAAAAATCTCCTAATCAAAGCCAGGCATCTAATGCCTTGTAAAATCCAGTTTTAGCAAGAACCCAGCTAAGTCAGTTAAGCAAAACCACCCCAACCCCACTCCTCCTACATCTGATCACCCTGGACATCTCATCAGGTTCCTGATCCTCCCACCTTTCCTCAGGTGATGTTTGATCACTCTAACCTGTCCTCAGTAAGAATCCTGTTAGGTTGGTTTAGCCAGAATTCTACCCACTCCCTCCCTTACTGCTAATGTTTCCTCGGTAACATTCCATCCACTACCCAGCCCCCAACCCCCCTGGTCCTTGGCTAAAATTTCCACTTGCCCATACTGTATTTGGAGTCCAGCACAATCTCTCTCACCCACTGCAAAATTCTAGCATTATTGGTCCCTACTGATGGTCCTGAATAAAGTCTGCCCAACCATCTTTAACAAGTGCCACCCATAACTTTTTCTTCATTTTAAAAAATATTTTTTCTTTATTGATTTTAGAGTGAGAGTAAGGGAAAGGGAGAGACAGAAACATCAATGAGGGAGAACATCAACTGGCTACCTCCTGCAGACCTCTATTGGGGATGGGGCCCACAACCTGGGCATGTGCCCTGATGAAGAATCCAATCTGCGACCTCTTGGTGCATGGATCCACACTCAACCACTGAGCCACACCAGCCGGGCAATAATTTTTCTTTAATGCATGCTGTGTCCAAGACAGCCTAGAATAAAATTCAGAGGACTTAGCACAAGTCTATTGGAAACTATACATCAAATACATGTCTTATAAAAATATTGTTTTAAAATTGCAAATATAGCCCAGGCCAGGCTCAGCTGTTAGAGCGTTGGCCCACTGAGCAGAGTCCCGGGTTCAGTTCCCTCTAACGCTACCTACCTCGGTTGCAGTTTGTCCCCAGCCCGGTTGTAATTGTGTGGGTGACAACCACTCTATGTGTCTCTCTCACATCAATGTTTCTCACTCTCTCTCCCTCTGGTTCTATTTGAAGATAAATACAAAAATGTCCTTGGGTGAGGATAAAACAAACAAAAATAAAATTGCAAATGCAGTATATTCTTTGTATGCATGCTATTTTTAATTGAATTTATTGGGAAGACATTGGTTCCCAAAACCATATAGGTTTCAAGGGTATTAACTCAATAAAACATCATCTGAACACTGCATCATGGGCCCACCGCCCCAAGCAAAGTCTCTTTCAGTCCCCTCCTCCTCCCTCTCATCCCCCTCCACCTAGCCCCCAACCCCACTTTCCCTCTGGCTATCACCACACTGACGCATGCTATTTTTTATAAAGTCCCTTATTTTAAGTCATTGATATACGACTTCCCTAAAATGCCCAACTTTTTATTTTGGCAGGATTGATTTTTTTTTCCTTCTTTCTTTGTATAGTGAAAGGAGAATTTGTTTTTCTATCTTAGCCCTTTTTAGGAATCTTCTCTGAGCTTCCCGCTGCCCTTGAGCCTCATTCTTTTCCCCTCCCAATGCCTGAGGACGGCACCAACACTTGGTAAAAATTTGGCTCTGGGCAGTATTATGTTGAGTGACAAATGGATGAGGATGGTCGTTTTATTGAAGCATCGGAACCGCATTTAATTTTCCGTGTTGCTTTATTTATTCCCTAACTCTCAGAATAGTGAATTTCGTGGACTCCAGTTGGGTCTGTGGTACTTCAGACGTTTAGTAATAAGAAACATAATCTGCGTTTCCCGTTAGGATACTAGTCTCATTTACATTAAAGGCGGCTTATTCTGAACTGTTTTACACAGTATTTTTCAAAGCCCCCTGAAGAACAAAATTTCCCTTTGCGTTCCGGCATTGCTTCAGCGGCCTCCGGTGACCTCCTGGCTTGGCAACCTGCGCCCCATTCCGCAGGAATCAAGCCTGACCCAGTATGGCCTTGTGCGCGCCGCCTCGCCAGACCCTCTCCTCTTGCCTTTCCCTCCCACCGCCCAGGATAGAGCTTCCATCCGGCCGCCTCAGCCGTCGGCACAGCGACACCATGTCCTCCCCTCCAGCGGCTCCCCAGCGAGCTCGCCGCGCCAGACAGCGGGTAACCGCCGCCTCCGCTGGGGCATCCCGGCTCCATAGGCCTAGCACGCTCCAGACACCTGTCTCTCACTGGTCACCGCTGCTGCCCCTCACCCCGCTGACGCCTCGGCAATTGGCCCCAGGCAGTCCTTCGTCATTCTCGGCCTCTCGTTGAGTCCCGCCTCCGTCGCCGGGTCATTTAAGTTTATCACAAATAAATAAATAAAGGAGGAAATAGAAATGCGTAGAAAGTAAAAGCAGTCGGGAGGGGTGCGAGGGAGTGGGGGGTGGGAAAAAGAGAAGAGGGGCGGAGGCGTAGACAACCAAACCTGATTGTACCTGTGTCGACCAATCACAGCTCACTCCAGTCCAGTCTGACGGGCTCTCTCAACCAATAGCCTCCGACCTCTCGGATCACTGAACAACAAGCTATGACTGACCTCTCCAGACTGGGCGAAGGTGCGGCAGCGGGGGGCGGGGTGGGGAGACTGTCGACCAATTGTCTGTTAACAATCCTCTGAGTGAATTTTCCACGCCCCAATAGCTGTTTGAGATAGCGGATTGGGCTTCTTCTAGCCCAATCGACAGTGGTAGAGATGAGGGAAGAGGAAGATAGGGGCGGGGACGGGGAGGGGAGGAGAAAGAGTGAATGTTGTTTATGGGCGGCAACCTCACGAGGAGCGTCCCATTTCTATAGGACCACTGAAGCTAGGAGTGGCATAAGAATAACCCAATAGTAAGGAAAGACAGAGGGTTCTCGGTGTGAGACGCCCAATGTGGACCTTCTGCCGAAGAAGTAAGGGCGGGGAAGTTTAGGAGTTGAGGAAAGAAGATTAAAGAGCGTGAGGAGGTAACGCCAAAAACTCTAATTTGTTGTTGGGCGGGAGGGAGGGGTGTGTGCGTGCAGAGGGGGGTGAGGCGTCCGCGAGGCGCTTGGAGTCGGGGGCGGCGGGACAGGAAAGGAGGGGAGCGGGATGAGGTTGGTTGGGGGAGCGAGCAGGAGCAGCGAGCCCGCGGGCCGTCGGCCGGCAGAGAGCGCGCGCCCCTGCGCTCCGCCCCGCTCGCGCCTCCTCTCCCCAGGCGCCCCTCCTCGCGTCCGGCATCCACTACGTCCTCATCCGACCCGGCGGGGAGGAAGGGAGCGCGGGAGGGTCTCAGGTTCCAGGAGCGGGCGGGGCGTCCTGCAGCTGGAAACGTGTCTTCTACCTACTTCTTTCTACTCCCTGCGCCTGGAGCTGCCGTTTCCAAGAAGAGGAGCTGGGGGCGACTAGCCTGGGCTCGGGAGCTGCTAAAAGCGTCCGCTTGTCTTCCGTCCCCCTCCCTCCTGACCCTCCCCTGCTTGCCTTGGCTTCGCGGTCTCTGGAGCGTCTTCAGAGAATTGGGGGGCGGGAGATGTCCTGGCTCCAGAGCCGCTGGACGCCCCCCCATCCCCGACCTTGGATCTACTGGCTCCCGCCTGCTTCGCTGCTACGACTAGAGAGGAGGGGGTTTGGGAAAGGAAGACACACCTTTCCTTCTTTCTCTCCTTTGGGCTCCTTTGCAAACATCAAAAAATGTTGTTTCTTTTCAATAGCTGAGATAAAAAAGGTTGGAAGCTTTTTGAAAGTTGAAAAGAAACGCACTCTTTGTTACATTGTTTAATGCATTACTATCTGTGTGGCTATCTGGTCCTCTTCCCCACCCACCCCATGCCCGCTACCTCTCCGAAGCTGTTATCTGCTGAGAAGGAAGGAGACAGGAATTTTCCAAAAGTTCTATTGATAAACACACTTGCACAACATATGCTAGGCACACACATAAACTATAAACATTAGCTAACAACACAATATGGCGCGCAGCTACACTACCTAGTGCTGTTATCCGCTGATCTCTAACACTGAACCCAGTTGAATGGGGTCAGTAGTAGGATGATAGTTATCCAATTAATCCGAATGAAACCGGAAATGATTTGGCCGCCAGCGGCTTAAGTAGTGTCCGCAGAATCAGCTAAATTGAACATGGTAACTTTCTAGACGTGTGAAAATTGTCTTATTTACCGTTAAAAATACCAAAATGTTGCTAAAGGCGAGTTTTCTCACTTCGTGGTCATGTCTGTGTAAATTTCAGCTAATAAAATTAGCAGAGGCCAGTCTTTGTTCCAATATTTTCAAGTGAACTCAAATCTGAAGTACTATAGTAACTTGCTGCTTTTGAAAATTGTGAAACCTAAATTATAATGACCATTTTGTAAATAAATTTTATAGCTGTAAACACTATTTAAATAACTTATTAACACACTCATAACTCTTTACTGTCCTACCTGTTGCTCCTAATCCCAAGTACCCTTTGCTATCACCTGGAAATAATTAAAATGCACCCTTCCTCCCTCCCTCCCTCCACCCACCCTACACATGTAAATTTGACCACTTCAGATTTGGCTACGTTATGCATTTATGCTTTACAACTAGGTGTTTATATGTTTCTAGGAAAAGAACAAAAGCCCCAAAAACAATTTACATAGATTTTTCGTCCCTGTTATTTTTACTCAGACTATATCAAAGTTGTTCATGCACACATAGTGCATGGGTGTCATTGTGTCCTCTCTGGACTAGTCTTCTCTCAAGAAAGCTTTTGGAATTGTCCTTGAAGGATTGCTGATATTACTCATGGTTCAGTGCTCAAGATTCAGTTCCTAAAACTGGAGTTGTGAGTTCCATTGGGCTCAATTTTGGAAGGCTTTCGGCTTGAGAATACATGGTACTCAAACAGGAGAGAAGAAGAAAAGTGAGTTTTCTAGAAATTTATTAGCTGCTCAGTGAGTCCAGCAGTTGGGTTTTTTTGATTTTGTGATTTCAGATCTCACAGACCAGTGGAATAAAGGCCTTTTGCATATGAAGATCAGGTGACAAGTAAACTGGCTACCAGCCTCCAAAGCAATAAACCCTTTCATGGTGAGGTCCTGATTTTAACAGATTAAAGAAAGAAGTTTAAGATTAAAATTGTCAATTTTTATTCATTTTCAGGAAGAAGTCTTTATGCTTACCTGTATAGTCCAGTTAAGATGCCAGTATTTTGAGATTACTACTGCACCAAGAAAATACAGATATAATTCATATGTACACTGACTAGCCATTGAAAGACAATACGAGTTTAAAAGGAATGCTAGCAGAAATAAAAGCTTTCATGTGAGGGTTCTAATGGGGGTGAGTGTGTATGCTTAGAACAACTATTTGATGTGATGCCAGTTTCCTATGTAGTTAGGTCAGAAAGTTTTTGAGACTCACAAACATACAACTACTCTTGCTGTCAGATTAACACAACCTGACTGCTTGGTATAGGAATAAAATCTCAGAAAAAAAGTCTTTTTAAATGAGTTGTTTTTATCTCAGAAGTGACTTTCTTTGACGAAATTGAACTTCCTAGGAAAAAAGAGGCTAGACTGAATAATTAGGTCATTTTAGAAGAGCAATAAAAAAGGTACATCTAAGTTCCTTTAAAGGACCTAACATGTATAAATGAATTACAAATTATTCTGAATATTTTAGAATGAATCGTAAGGAGATACTTCTTTAAAACTTTTGGCACTAAAAAAAGTGGAGCTTGATGAGCTGTGCTTTATTCTCTGAAGTAATCATGTTTTTCAAAAGTGGTTGTTTAGATTCAACAACTTGTTCTAGACACTTGGGAGGTACGGTGAACAAGAGATGAAATTATCTGCATTGTAGAGTTTACATTCTAATGTCATATATACTTTATGTTCTTCAGATTGTTAGGAGGAGAGATTTTAGATGAAACTTTAAAACCTAGCTGTTTTCTCATTTTAGGGAATACATTCTGAAAGAGCTTACAGAGTTTGAGGGGCAGGGAGTTGTTTACCGTTTGCCAATGATAAAGGAAAAGGTTATTTTATTTCTATTTTTACCCTTTATTATTGTCATGAAATGATCTCCATACATTAAAGTAGAGGTTTGATTTATTTTTTCATAATTTTAAGCATGCCTTTGAAATAAAATGTTATATTTTTTGAAGAAAACCTGTGTCTTGAAATTTTCTGTAAAATTCCTATGAAGCTTTTGTTAGGAAATTGTGGTAGAACGTAAGCTAGAATATCCGAAATGTTTTAGTTAGAATGAATTTCATTTAGAAATAGGTCTGAAAATCAAGTACCTAAGTCTTTTCCAGTTGTGGTTTTTGAAGAGAAGATGGAAATTTGTTGTAATTAATTTATAGGTGACATTAAAGAGAGAAAAAAGAGAAAGGCCTGCAAAAAAAAAAAACACACTTTATTATTTAAACCTTTCTTTCAAACTACAAAAGCATTTGATTGGCACTTCTCTGATTTAATAGACCATTTGTAATGCAAAAGGAACATTACAGAAGATTTTAGCATTACTTTAAATCTAGTCATTTAGTCTGTAGGTGTAAAAATCCTAGGTTTCTAACAGAAGGAAACTTGGTGTCTGGTTATGAGTTTATATGATTTAACAGTGACTGTTGCTTCAAGTAGTGGGTGTTTCACCTTTCCAAAACGTAGTTCATAGTTTTCAAATAACAAGTTCTGATTTTTGTCATTTTTCGTTGTCATGGTGAGTCTTATATTGTTAGCCAAATACGACTTGTTTTCTTAAGTAGGATAATTCTTTTTACACAGTCCCTCCACCTCTGGTTTTCCCATCCTCTGCTATAAAGGGCTTATATTTCTGATACCTACATTAGAACTCGGTTTATGCTAATTTTTTAGCATAATCACCTCCTCCAAAGAGAGTACATAGTAATGAATTTCAGAAAACTTTGAAGTTGTCTCTCACTATTTGTATAGAGACCTGCCAGCGTCTGAAAACTATAAACAGGAAGATTTAGGAAGAAAAGCAGAGACTATTAACTAATGGAACATGCTGTTTTATCTGAAATTTTGGTTGATAGAATGTTAAAAATTTAGAACTTTTCCTAATTTTAGTGAGGATGGTTGATGTATATGTGTTTATGCACATGTAAGTATATATTTATATTGAGCAGTTTTTGAATAAAGGCATATTTCATTGCTGGATAAATAATTCCAGTCCTGCCTGTGGTCCTTGACATGGAAGGCATTCAGACTTGCCAGGTGATTTTGTTTAACTCTGTTAATTACCAAAACTTTGCTCTGAGCAAAATGAAACACAAGCTAATTAAATCTTTGTAACTTATAATAATTTTGGATTCAAAGATATTTTGGAATTTTTTTGTTTTAAAAAAAATTTTTTTTTTTTAAATAATTTTTAGAGAGAGGGAGGGAGAGGGAGAGCGAGATGGAAACATCGACGAGAGAGAACATCCATTGGCCCCCTCCTGCATGTCTCCCACTGGGGATTTGGCCCACAACCTGGGCATGTGCCCTGACTGGGAATTGAACCCACGACCTCTTGGTGCATGGGTTGACACTCAACCACTGAGCCACACCAACTGGGCTGGAAGTTTTTTTAAAAGCAAGATTACCAAGCAGCTCATAAAATGAATGAAATCTAAAGTGAAGAGTTCTTAACACCCTGGATTCACATAAGACATTTGAGAGTTTCAAAAAGAGGTATTCATAGGGCAAAAGATAAAATCTTGACATCTGGTCAAATTTTTATGATATTAAAATAAGCATGACTAACTATTAATATTCATATTTTTAGGTAAGTGCAAGTATGTGTACAGTGCATTTTAAGTCAAAATTTGGGGTGTTATTGGCTAGACACAGTCATTTCTTTGCCAGAGATAGGCTGTGTGAGGGCTAACCATCTGTCAAGTGATAGAGACAAAGAAAGGTTTAATATACTAGTCTAAAATTTCCACAAACTTGTTTTGAATTGTATTGTCATTTTGTTTTGGCCTTCATATTATGTGTTGAATCTGCACTGGGTCACTCACCCCACATTGTTTTATGAACAAACTATTCAAGGTCTGGATGAGGTTATTGTCACAGCTGATGTGATCTAAGGACAAGATAAAATATATTTTGATTTTGCTTTCATGTAATAATAAAAAATTCACAAGTGGGCCACCCACTAGCGGTTATACAAATGACTTTCAAGCACACTTATTTTCACCCACCCATTCTGAATTTTGGGTGTCTTAATTCTTGTGCTTTATATATTCAAGCCTTGTATTTCATACCCATTCCTGAGCTGTTTGGTGGTGGGGGGGAAGTAGCAACAGGAATCCAGATTGCCTGTTTTAGGTACAATATGGTGTGATGTGAAATTGAAACAGCAGATTGGTGAGAAACTTTAGTTTCAAACAAATATAAACTAGTTTGTTCAGTGAAGTCATACACAAAACAGTAGTCTCTATTGACAGGGCAACATTTTTTTTCTCTCTCAGTAATTTCCACATCATGAGGTCATTGTTTCTTTGGACCAGCAGTATATTACCAAGGCATCATATAAGAAAAAGAAGCCCTAATATTGCTGATTGTAATGATATACTTAGATATGGCAGGCTGAGAAATTATTTATAGCAGTGCTAATTATATCAATAAAAATAGCAATATTAATGCTGTGAGTGTCAAAATCCATTTCTGACAGTATGAGGTAAACAGAACTATAGTCAAACAAAGCAGCCAGCCTGTCTCTACTGTCAGCTCATGAATATGCACTTCAGGAAAAATATACACACAGTTTAGAGAATTGGGCGTATTAATTTAATCTTTTTCAATTACTTTTGACTTTTTGTTGTTGTCAATCCTTACTTGAGGATACATTTTCCATTGCTTTCTTTTTTTAATTCTCACCTGAGGATATTTTTACATTTATCTTCAGACAGAATGGGAGGGAGGGAGAGAGAGAGAGAAACATCGATGCGAGAGAGTCACATCGATTAGTTGCCACCTGCATGACCCCAACGGGGGCCAGGGACGATCTGCAATCGAGGTATATGCCCTTGGCTGGAATCGAACCCGGGACTCTGGTCCACTGGCTGATGCTTTTACCCCTGAGCCGAACCAGCCAGGGTTTTTTTTCCCCCCTTTTCTTTTTTTTAGAGAGAGTAGAAGAGGAAAGGGGGGGAGAGAGAGAAAGAAACATCGATTTGAGATCCATTGGTTGCCTCCCGCTTGACCCCGACTGGGATGGGGATCAAATTTGCAAACCCATGTACTTGCCCTTCACTGTGATTCAAATCTGCAACCCTCTGGTCCTCGGGCCAACGCTCTAACCACCGAGCCACACTGACCAGGGCTACTTTTGACTTTTTAAAAAATGTTCTTTATTTCTAATTCATATGATATTAAAACATCTTGGATTTTTAGTTTTGAAATTCTTGGTACCTATTTTACTATGATTAGTAAGATTCTAGAGACTTATTTATAGTAAAGTGCATTAACAATTTAAAAAACAATACAATACAAAACAAAAACCATTACCTACCATACATACACACATACCCAATAAATCTCTGGCTTCCCTTAGGCATTAAAAAGTATCCTTTTCCATGGTTTTAATTTTATGGAAATACATATGTTTCTTTGTTGTTTTCATTACTTCTAGTTAGTTTTTTTAATTTTATGATATTTTAAAGTTACTTTCCTAGGAATATAAAATCAAGGTACTAGAAGTCATTGTATTTAAAGGTTTTAACTTAATGGGACAGCATCTAAATTTTTAATTAATCTCTCATATATTATATTTAATTGCACATTGTCAAATTCTTAGATGCAGAGTTTATGCAGAGGAAAGATTATCCTAGGTCTAGTGCCACCACTATCCTAGGTCTAATTGTATAATCTTGGGCATGTCATGTAATCTGTTTGAACCTTTCCCTTAGCTTCATCTTCAGGGTCCTTTTAGCTCTAATAATATGAGTATGTTTCTTTCAACAATTGAATATTTTAGCTTCAGATAATGTTACTGGAAGTGATGTTTAGGGTACTAGGAAGGATTATATGTAAAATATTTGACTTTACTTTTTACTTTTAGTCCTTGATAAAACT